CAATGTTTTATTGGAGAGGATCACAGTGAGAGTGGTAGCTATGGTATTTATGGTATTAATGAGTTATTGTGGTTGTTGTTCAGACACTAAGTTGTGTCCCAGTCTTTGAAACCCCAAGAACTGCAGCCCACCAGGCTTCCCTGTCCTTCAGTATCTCCAGAATTTGCTTAAACTTATGTCCATTGAGTTGGTGATGCCATCTATCCAGCCATCTCATCTTCCATTGCCCCTTCTCCTGTTGCCCTCAGTCTTTCCCATCATCAGGGTCTTTTCCAATAAGTAGGCTCTTTGCATCAGGTGGTCAAAGTACTGGAGCTTCAGCTTCAGCATCAGTCCTTCCAGTGAATATTCAGGGTTGATTTCCTTTAGGATTGATGTTTTGATCTCCTTGCTGTCCAATAATGAGTAAGAGCCCATTACTGGTAAGGTCTTATGCTGGGTGCTTTGAATGGATTATCTTTAATGATAGTCTTACAAGGTGGCTATTATTATTTTCACCCCTGTTTTACACCTGAGGGGACTAAAACACAGATGTTGAATAATTGCTGGTCTTACAAACTTTGGAATGGTTGGAGAGATGCCAGAATGTGACCTTAGTCTTTGTTACTTTACAGACCCAGGTGGCGCTAGTGGTAAAGAATCTGCCTGCAAGCATGTGAAGGGAGAGAGAGAGATTCTTTTAATTCATGGCTTAATATATATAAAGCTTTTAGAACAATGCTTACAAAATAGCCCTTTATATAGAAGCACTGTATTCATATTAATCACTATTTCCCCTAAGTCGCTTGTTTGAAGATGTTATTTTTTCTTCTTTCCAGCAGGTGGTAGTGACTTTAGAGGATGAGAGGCTTGACCATAGAAGCCCTGCTCTGACCTTAGGTCTGTAATCAAGTTAATGAGCTTGAATACAAGAGTGTATATAAAAGAAACAGGCAGCTCTGGTGTCCTCCCCTAAGTGCTCGCTTCCTGCACCTACACACACATGCTATTTCTCAGCTAAATATTTTAGTTGTATAGAAAAAGCAGTTCCCGGGTGAATAGCTGATTTTTTTCTGATAAACTCTCTTATCATTATGTAATATAGATTTCCGTTTTCTTTTAGTAATCCTAGAACTACAGGGATGTAAAATGAATTAAATTTATAGCTGACTTCAGTTTGCCTTTCCTTTGAAACCTTTAAAAACATGAACTCATTTGTATCTGCTTCAACTGTGTTTTTAGTTTTAATTTAGATTGGATTAAATGGTCTGTTGTTTATTTGAGGATAATCTCAGAATTTAGCATGACATTTCCATTTGCAGCATCACATTTACTAATGTGGATCTCTTCCTGTCTCTTGTCTCTGGGTCTCATTTTTTCTCTCATGGACGTCTCCCGAGCTCCTACCAGGAGGACCTGCTGTGGCCCCCACACTGATTAGCTCTGCCCGAAAGCTCCATACTGCAGAGTGTCATCCCCTGGGCTTTGAGACAGTATTTCTGGCCAAACAGTCAGCATCTGGATGAAGTGAGTTGTTGTAGAAAAGAAGAAAAGAGAGTGGGGAGCTAAAGGATGGTCACATCCCAGGTCACATCTGAGTCCTTGGGACAGCCTCCATGTGTGTGGGTTCTTGACTTTATACAGGAAAGAATTCAAGAGTGAGCCATAGTAAAGAGAAAGAAGGTCTGCTCAGGGAGGAAACATACTCTATAGACAGAATGTGGGCCATCTCAGAAAGAGAGGAATGAGAGGCCTCAGGATATGGGGTTGTCAGTTTTTATAGGGGTGGGTAATTTCATAGACTAAGTGGGCTTCCCAGGTGGAGCTTGTGGCTCCACTGGTGAAGAATCTGCCTGCAATGCAGGAGACCTGGGTTCGATCCCTGGGTTGGGAAGATCCCCTGGAGAAGGGAAAGGCTACCCACTCCAGTCTTCTGGCCTGGAAAATTCCATGGACTGTATAGTCTGTGGAGTTGCAAGGAGTCAGACATGACTGAGCATGCACGTAACACAATTTCATAGGCTAATGAGTAGGAAGATAATGCCATTGTTTTGGGGGAAGGAGTGGGACTTTCCAGGAATTGGGCCGCCACCCACTTTTGATGTTTTCTGGTCATCCTTGAAATCTTCAGGATTCCCAGGTGGCTCAGTGGGTAAAGAACCTGCCTGCCAATGCAGGAGACATAATGAGATGATGGCTCAATCCCTGCATCAGGAAGATCCCCTAGAGGAGGGCATGGCAATACACTCCAGTGCTCTTGCCTGGAGTATCCCATGGATAGAGGAGCCTGGTGAGCTGTGGTCCATAGGGTCGGAAAGAGTCAGACACGACTGACGCGACTAAGCATGCTTTTTAGAACCATTGGGTGCCTGGAGTGTGTTACAGTGAGCTTATACAGAGGCTCAAGGTCAAGTAGAAGTTGAATCGGCCATTGGACCTAGTTGGTTCTAATCAGTTTATGCTGTGTCCTCTGGCTATGTTATTCTTTTAAAGGTTGTACTCTGCCCCCTTCCTGTTTCAAGGTCATTCTCTGTATGAAAATCAGTTTACTTAGGCATGTGTACTCCACAAGCTGGAAGGAGCTGTGACTCTCATATTAGGGCCCTTTCTTTTTTCCTAAGAAGACCCCTGCCTGAATGGGCCACCCTTACCCAAGCGATGGCTCGTAGCAATTTAACCTGAAGAATTTGAGGTCAACAGTGTAGCTCCCTAGGGTTCACCTGCAGAAAAGAATCTCTTCCTTCCTTGAATAAGTGGATCCCTTCCAGCAGCAATTGATTTATCCATTAACAATACCATTTGCACTTATGTCTAGTCTTCAGAGTGACCCTCTCAACATTTCAGTAGATTCACCTTGGTATATAGTGTTTTTTTCTGGCTAAACTCTACAGAGTGAGAATGAGGTAACTTTCTCCCCACCACCCAGTTATCTGCTTAGTCTTTTTTTTGGGACAAGGAATAGGTCAAGAGGGTATTTATGTAAGCCTGTGGACCATTGGATTGAATATGTATCTCTTCACTTGATCTTAGCCAAAAAGGCAGAAAAGTGATGAATATGTATCTCGTAATTGCCAACCTCTACCTTAAAGTTAATTTAGGCCTCTAGAGCCATACAGCTTGACAATTCACCAGTATCATAATAAAAAAATTTTAATCTTCTCCCATGCTATTGTTATTATTTAAGCTATTTGTGCCTAGGCATAAAGACTAAGCTGTGCAACCGTGTCATATACATATCATGGATGGTAGTCTCTTTAAAAGATCCAGCCACACATGGTAGATATCCACCCCACTAACATGGGGCCCATCTCATGTAGTTAATGACCTCCCTTTTGTTTCCCACTCCTGGGGTCCCTTTGTGCAAATATGTACCAGTCCTTTGTGGTGGGTCTGTATTCACCATTATCGCCAACTCCTCTCTGGTTTCCATACATAACGCATGTGTGTGCTCAGTCGTGTCCTACTCTTTGGGACCCTAGACTGTATACTGTCAGGCTCCCCTGATGGTGGAATTTTCCAGGCAAGAAACCTGGAGTGGGTTGCCATTTCCTCCTCCAGGGAATCTTCCTGACCCAGGGATCAAACTTTCATCTCCTGCATATCCTGCATTGCAGGTAACTTCTTTACCTCTGAGCCATCAGGGAAACCCTTCCATACATAATGAATCCCCAAATCCATTGATTCTCTCCATGGTCTTTTCATGTTTCCCTTCATCATCTCATTGATACAGATCTTATCTCTGGATCCCGTTCCTATTTTTCCCGTCTATGTCCTCATCTGCTCTCTCAGATTGTAACTGCATTTGCCTATTTTCTCTGCACAAGTCTTGACTCCTCCAGTTTTACATAATATGGCCAAAATAAAAATCTGTGAAGTCATATCCTCCTGAGGCCACAGTCCAAATCTCTTGCCTAGTGTCCCAGGCCCTGGCGCCTCTCTTGCCTACAGCCCTCACTCACTGTGACCTTCAGGTGACTGCATTTCCCTGGGCTCAGCGCCCTCCTCCAAGTTCTGGAGCCTCCTGGTGTTCATGCTCCCTCATCTTCCAGGTGAATATGTCTTGGCTTTTCAAAGGTCATTAGTGTTGACAGTTTCCCCGCACCCCAGCCTCACACTAACTGAGTTAATCGCTTCCTCCTCTTTTTTGCCTTCATTCTTAGCCATATGTCTATTATGGCATGTAATCTCTGTATTTTAAGTATGTATTTACAATGTGTGTCCTCGTTAGACTGTGAATTCCCTGGGGCCAGGGCGTTCTTAGTCACCTTTGCAATTCCAGACTCTGGTAGAGAATTTTTACCAGTATGTGCCTAATAAATATTTGCTGAATCGGTTCAATTGTCTCGTAAATGTTCTCTATATTACAGAATGACATCCACCTGCCAATGCAGGAGACTTGGGTTAGATCCCTGGAGTTGGGAAGATCCCCTGGAGGGGGGCATGGCAACCTACTCCAGTATTCTTGCCTGGAGAATCCTGTAGACAGAGGAGCCTGGTGGACTTGTATCCGTGGGGTCGCAAAGAGTTGGACACAACTGAGTGACTGAGCATGCATGCACAGACTATCTCTGTAGTCTGTTATTGTCTGTTTAACTCAATTAAGAGAACAGAGTTCATTAGGTCAAAGTCTTTAGTTTCATTCCCCTCTGGAGCTGTTAGCTTTGTTCTTCAGCTGTCAGAAACCAACTAGCCTAGTAAATACCACTGGTTTCAAGGGACTTGGAGAGAGAATGATTCAGGTCGGCAAATTCATCTCAACTCTTAGACAAACTGAATCAAACATATTCCTCCAAACATATTGATGCTAAAAACATAATTTCATGCTTGGATCTTGTCTACAGCACCTGTCTGGGGGCACTGAAGGGTCTGACTTGAAAGTCTCTGCCTCAATGAGGGCGCTGGTACCACCGGCCCAGGGTGGTTTTGCCATGAGAGCTCTGATTACCCCTCCACAGATCTTTGTGACTGCCGGCCTCTGAGTTTCCTGTCTACCCACGTGTGTCTCCGTGTCTGTCTTCCAGGTGAGACCATGCGCATCGCTTCTTCGGAGTTTGCGGATGACCCCTGCTCGTCGGTGAAGCGCGGCACCATGGTGCGGGCGGCTCGGGCCCTGCTGTCCGCTGTGACCCGCTTGCTCATCCTGGCAGACATGGCGGATGTCATGAGGCTTTTGTCTCATCTGAAAATTGTACGTATGTAGAACTTATCAAAATATGCTTTATGTGGATGGTGGTAGTGACCGCGGATAGTACCGTGCTGAGCTGGACTGACAATGTGTTACCACTCACAGGGTCACTTGCTTACTCACCCAAGTGGTATGCTCTTAACTTTTCTAATACTCAATTTATACTCAATAATATGTTTTTCAAAGATACAGATTATTCAGTTGAATTGCCTTCTCTCAAAACAGGGAGTTTAAGTCTCCCCTTATTTCCTGGAGTACAGAACTGTGCATCTTTCAGGGTGCAGAGGCCTCGTGTGGGGTGCCCACCTTGGTTTTGTCTTGAGATTCAGAGCAGCGCTGGTCCCTGTAGTCATATAGGCCAGGCCAGCTCTCCTAGGGGCTTCCCTGGTGGCCCAGTGGCAAAGAACCTGCCTGCCAGCGTGGAGGACACAGGAGACTTGCGTTCGATCCCTGGGTCAGGAAGTTCCCCTGGGGGAGGAAGAGGCAATCCGCTCCGGTATCCTTGCCTGGACAATTGCATGGGCAGAGGAGCCTGGTGGGCTACAGTCTGTGGGGCTGCAGAGAGCCAGACATGCCTGAGTGATGGGACACACACGCAGCTCTTCTCGGCAGCTGGCCACTTGACCGCCTCTGCCCACCTTAATACAGATCCTGTTACATTCTATTTTGTTAACTGCTCTATCGTTGCCCTTTTATAGAATTATGTACTTTGAACCTCCCTCAGTCTGGCAATAAAAAGAAGCCACTGTTTACTAAAGTCAATCTTGTTGCATCAATTTTCATCTCACACACCTGGACGGGGTCTCTGGGTGCACATGTGTGCCCCACCAACCCCATCATATGTCCCTTGCTTGTCACGATTCCTTGGCTCCAGTTAAGCCTTCTGTTTCTTAATGGAAGTGGACACATGCCCTGGTCACAAATTTTTCAGGGTCATGTGCAGCCCTCGCAGCCCGTGACTTCTACACTTTGCTCTCTTTCCTAGTTGCTGACTGGCGTCTGGTGCCTCCTGGATGATTCTTCTCTTTGATGATGAAACAGTTACTTAGGAACATGGCTTCTGCCTAAAGGACCTCTGTTCCATGCCTGCTGTGGCTTTCATTCCTGGGCTGTTGGCACCAACCCTACACTGACCTCAGGGTCCTTAGATGATGGGATGTGAACCATGGACTTTTGTTTTGGGGGAACCAACCTCTTGCTGGCTTAGTTCCCCCAGGTCTGGCCATTCTTGGCTTATCACTTTCCCTCAACTTCTTGTGTTCTTTTCACGTGAAATGAACAATGAGGGGGCAGGTGAGATAGGAAGTGAATAATGTCAACCTACTCTTACCTCACTTTCCATCTCATATTTGTCCAGTAGGGGAGTTCACTGAGAAATTTCCAAAAGCACAAATGTTCTGTGTCAAAAATCCTTAGGCAGGGCCTTGCTTGGGCTGGCCCCAAGAAAGGAGCCAAGATTTCCAAGTTTTATATGAATTCTGCAGTATGATGGAAGGCCCCCAATCCCAGCATCCCCAACATGGGTCGCATGGTCATGAAGCAGGTGTCGCCCGCTCTTCATGGCTTCTGAGGAGCCAAGGGACACAGAGCAGAACCTGCTTGGGAATTTTCTCCCACAGAGTGTGTGCCTGCTCAGTCGCTTCAGTAGTATCTGACTCTTTGCGACCCTATAGACCATCGTAGCCCACCAGGCTCCTCTGTCCATGGGATTCTCCAGGCAAGAACACTGCAGTGGGTTGCCGTGCCGTCCTCCAGGGGATCTTCCCGACCCAGGGATCAAACCCACCTCTCTTGTGTCTACCTCATTGGTCGGTGGGTTCTTTACTACTAACACCACCTGGGAAGCCCCCAGAGAGTAGGACTCAGAAACCAGGGAAGACTCTTGGCAAGTTGGATGAGGTGGGCAATATGCAGAGAGGCTATCTGTTGCAGAGGAGGTTGAGAGGCAGTGTAACATTACGCTGAACCTTTTGGCCACTCGAGTCAGACAGCCTAGGTGTAATCATGTTTGGTGTCCACTTGCCAGCCTGTCATAACCCACCATATAAAACCTTCAGAAGCGTAGAGAACAGACTGGTAGTTACCAAGGCAGGGGGAACTTGGAGAAGGGCCTGAGTGGAGGTTGGGGTTAGCAGATGTAAGCTTTTATATATAGAATGAATAAATAAGGTCCTACTAGATGGCACAGGGAACTATATTCAATGTCGTATGATAAACTATAATGGAGAAGAATATAAAGATGTACAACTGAATCCCTTTTCTGTACAGCAGTAACTAACAACATTATAAATCAACTGTATTTCAATAAATATGTGTATAAAGTGGAAGTGAAAGTCGCTCAGTTATGTCCAAATCTTTGCAACCCCATGGACTATACAGCATAGTCCATGGACTTCTCCAGGCCAGAATATTGGAGTGGGTAGCCTTTCCCTTCTCCAGGGTATCTTCCCAACCCAGGGACTGAACCCAGGTCTCCCTGATTGCAGGCAGATTCTTTACCAGCTGAGCTACCAGGGAAGCCCAAGAATAATGGAGTGGGTAGCCTGTCCCTTCTCTAGGAGATCTTCCCGACCCAGGGATCGAACCGGGGTCTCCTGCATTGCAGGTGGATTCTTTCCCAACTGGGCTATTTAGTAAGCCCATGTGTATATATAATGCAAAAAATAAAGCCTCAGGTTTCAGACACATCATCTGTTGATATGAGGGCTAATGACAGTGCAGCCCTCCGAGCCGTGGGGAGCTCTCAACAGGGAAACTCCTATGATGCATTTATCACAGAGTCTGGTGCAAAGTAAGGGTCTGGTCAGTGGCACCTGTCACCATTGTCAGATTCTGGAACCACTCTCAGGCCATAGCGCTGGCTGTTATTCCTGTAGCCCCACGTGAGTTGTATGCCTCTTTAAGGCTACGGATGACTGTTCTCAAGTGTGTTGAAGAATAAGTTTTCTTACCTTTCTCTTACAACCTGCCTAATCTTCAAAAGCCACATTGTAAGAAAAATCTTTCCCCAGAGGGACCATCTTCTTTTACAAGGAGAACAGGACTGGACCTAAGGAAATTAACTTTACATCTTATATGTTAGCATTTTCTGTGCTGGGATTCCCAGGTGGTTCAGTGGTTAAAAAACAAACAAACAAACAAACAAAAAAAACAAAAAAACCTGTCTGCCAATGCAGGGGATGCAGGAGACATGAGTTTGATTCCTGGCTTGGGAGGATCCCCTGGAGGAGGGTCCACTCCAGTATTCTTTCCTGGAAAATCTCACTTACAGAGGAGCCTGGCAGGCTACAATCCATGGAGTTGCAAAGAGTTGAACAAGGCTGAACATGGATGCATGCACGTCCTGTGGAAAGCCAGTTCTGCCCCCTCTGGGAAGTGATGAAAGCTTAAAAAAAATACTGTCTCTGAACGGCCCATATGTGGCTGGTGCTCATGAAGTCTGGGGTCTGTAGAGTGCTGCAGGGCACCAGCTGATGCCTGGAACACTGCCTTTTATCCATCTGTTTTGACCAGTGCTGTCGCTGGTAGTATCACACTATAGCCTGTCCTAATGTAGAGTCAATTATATCCTCTTCCCGACATAGCAGATTAAGAGAAGTTAAAAAAAAAAAAAGATTTAGCACAAAATATGGAAAGGTCAACCCAGCAATATTAAGTAGTCCTGTCAGACTGTCAGCAATAAAATTAAAAATGATTGTAAGACTAAATAACACATTTGTTGTACGCGGAGTCTAACCTCTGTGGGGGACAGTAGTGGTGGAATGGTGCCATCCTGTGGCGTCAGTGGGAAACTGCAGATTCTGGTGTTCTCACTGAGTCGATCACGGTGTCATGATGGGAATAGTGCTCCAACCAGGTAAAAAAGACAATGTACCAACAATTAATTGCAAATAGACATAGTATACAATTCTACTTAGCATTTTTATTTTTTCCATAGCAGCACATCCTCTCATAAACGAATTTGTCTGCTAGCATCTATTTATTTGTTTTTAAGATGAGGGTCTTCCCAGGTGTCTGAGTGGTAAAGAACACGCCTATAAATGCAGGAGACACAGGAGTTGTGGGTTTGATCCCTGGGTTGAGAAGATCTCCTAGAGAAGGAAAAGGCAACCCCCTCCATTATTCTTGTCTGGGAAATCCTCATGGACAGAGGAGCCTGGTGGGCTGCAGTCTATGGAGTTCCAGAGTCGGACACGACTGAGCATCTGAGCACACATGTGAGATGAAGGAAATATCATTACCTATTTTGATGGAGCAGATTAGAAATGATCATTTATACTGTTATCAAGGTTTCTTCCAAATAAAAGTGAATTCCTTTACAAAATGGATGATAGAATATAGGTGGGCAAAAGGGTGGCAGGTGATTCCTAGTGATAATAAAGTAGTAACCTGATTTTATGTTGGATCTAAAGATTAATTAATACATTATAGGGAGTCCTATAGGTTCCTGCAATGTTAACCACTGCATAGCTATTTTACCTTTGAGCATTACAGATAATATTTTACTTTTTTTAATCTTTTAGGCCATGTGCCAAAACTTTATTGCTGTTCTTTCCAGATATTGATTTATTTTCTTGTTTCTGAGTAACTTACAGGAACATGGACAGAATTGCCTTCTTATCAGAAACATATTTCCATGTCTTTGCATCAATAATTCACTGAGTAGACGAAGGCAAGTCCATTTATTCTCCTAAAGTGCCTGCCTTCATTTTCTGTCCCGCACCCTGTAGGTAATTGTTGGCAAATTGAGTAATCCTGAGCAAATCCTTCAAATCAAATAAAGAATTGGGAATTCTACAGAGACTGTGTGATTTGGCAGAGTATAGGTTTTTGCATTCTAATACCTTAAAATTACATTTGTAAACTTAAGTTTTTATGCTGGTATAGTTTGTCTTTTCATGTAACTGGGCCTCCCAGCTGGCACTAATGGTAAAGAACCTGCCTGCCAGTGAAGGAGACATCAGAGACACGGCTTCAATCCCTGGGTCAGAAAGACCCCCTGG